CGGCGGATCTCTCTGTCCGCTTAACGAGCGTGATTCTCTGTCTCTATCTGATGTCCGTGGGTTTTTACGCGGCCGGCACATTCGCGGTTCAAAACACGAATGATTCGCGGGAGCTTCTTCATAAAATGGATTTGCCTTTCGATGTCAGTGAAACGCCAGTTTATGAGCTCGCAGTGACGGCACAATTTCTCCATCACATTGCATCCGCGATCACTTTTGGTATTTTCACTGCTCTCCTTGTAATGGCGGTAAGTGCGATCGGCGTTGTCACTTTTCCTTAACCCTTTCATTCCCATATTATTTAACATTTATGAAAAAAAAATTATTTTTTACTTTTGTCTATGTTGCATGACATATAAAGTTATTTCCGGGAACATTGTAAAGCGTTTCTGTATTCTGAAAGCGTTTAGTGCAATTTTTTATTTGTTGGCCATTTGGCAAATTTTATACTTTTATTACGTATTATGTAGAATCATTTACATTAGAAAGTTATTATACATGATAAAACTAATGACTTATGACTTTAATCGGTAAACCCTCTTAAAATATTTGAAAGAAATTAAGCTTTTATAAGTTTTTATTGTCTATATTGCTAAACAGTGCTCAATACTGTATTTCAGCGAATAAAAAAAATCGAGGACAATAATGTCGTGTTTTACCGATAAGAATTTAAACGCATATTGAAGTTTGTGTCATGCTATCTATACAAGACTAGAAGAAAGTATTATGTACTTACAAGTATGAAAAAATACACGATTCTGATATTTCATTTCGTAATTTATTATTATTAACCCATTCGAGTCTAACGTCGGCTACAGTCGGTGGCCACCAGATACTAGATACAAGGTTTACAGTAACGACAAATTGTAATTTTAAATAAATAATGTTTTCATGTAAAGTTCATTTCGCATTATGCTTTCTATGTATAAAATACAACGAAACATCCTTCTACCTAGATCGGATCCTCTTGTAAGTTGTTCAAAAACCACTTCAAATAATTCTAGGAATGATTTTTTGGATATTGAGCATTAGTGTCTAGAGATCCACGTCGACGATCGAATAAATCAGTAATTTTCGATATCTTGCAAATAAACATATTGCATTAGAAGGTACAATAATTTTTCAAAATCTGTCAAATTGTATTGCTAATTTTGTTTTCTATAAATAAATTCTAATATTTTGAATTTCGATTTTTTTTCTCACTTTTATCATTCGGTTGCATTCTGATGCCATAGCAAAAAGGAGGAATTGATTAAGCAATGAAAACGTACCAAGTAATGAATATAGAATAATTTAAAATTCATTTCTAATATCATTCAATCCTATCTGTCCAAAATTTCATTTCTCCCCACTTTCTTTAAACAAATTTGTGATAAGTCTCTAGTTTGTCACATTTGATTACGTGACTTTCTAGCATTATGACTGTATGTCCTGTTTAGATATTACATGTGGGATGTCATGTCGACGTATTGTGCCACATACTAACGACTGCATCTTCCGAAGATAATGGACAATTACGATTCGTCGTTAGCAGGCATCAGGAAATCATCGTATTTACGAAGAAAGTTGAAAAACTCTTCACGTACATAGCTTTAAGTCAACTGGTGTCGAACACTCTGATCACATGCTGCGTAGGATTTCTTGTTGCAATTGTAAGTAACAGTACTCCATTAATCTATTGTTACGTTCGTAACGAATTGCTACGACCATGTCCTGTTCCCGGGGATAAACTATTAAACTATTAGAGTGGTTGACAAAACCCAAAAATTGTCCTCGAGCGTTAGCCGGGCGTTTCCACACTGTGCATGCTTGGGCCACCCAGGGTTACCGTAATAAATTAAGTACGGACCGAGACGTACCACTCGAGGTGCGGAAGTCTTCGAGGACTTGTCCTTCGGAAATTTCTGAGCATCGGGGTGTTGCGTCTGGACTATGTCTCCGGCGCTTTCTCACGTTGGAGAAATCGCGCGGTGCCTGGAGTTGGCTCGGCACGTGGTAGTGGTGGGAAATTACCCCGAGACGTTCGGCATTGGATTTATACAGGAAAAACCTCGAGGACAGGGGGTGGAAACGGGCATCTTAAAAAGGCTCGAACTGAAGAGCTCGGGGCCAGTTTTACACAATCAGTTGTCGCGTCACCTCGTTACATTACCAGGCATTCGAACATGTACTTTAAGCATTTGTTCACAGATCAGTAAAGATTTTTTAAGATCAAGAAATAGCATAAACCTTTATTTCTCCCTACACCATCGCAGTCCCTATCCCAGGATAAATTCCTTAAATGGATTGACCAAAACAGGGGACGAACAAAATTTAGTCGTGATAAATTCGCAACACTATGCACATATTTATACATATACATTTACTATTTACATACACATGTATCTAAATAGACGTATAATATTTCACATAAACGTAATTTCACGTTGCAGTCAATCCAGATGGAAAATGGACTTCCCCTAATGATAAAGTCTATCGTGTTTTATTTCGTAATTTCTTTGGAAGTGTTCATATACTGTTTCGCTGGAGAGTATCTCGACACTAAAGTAATTAATTAACACGAATTACACCTAATGCACTGTTAATAATAAACTACATACAGTTCCATTATATAAGTCGCTGAAAGCGTTAATGGTGTAAGTCAGTTTTTAGTAAATTTTAGTTAACATCATAGGAAGATTTGCCCTAACTTTATTCCCCATAGTATATGATTTTATTAATGAAACACATATATATTTACCGAGAAGTACATATGTATTCTTTACGTAGAAAAATGGCTGCTTCAAGTTTTTCGGAATGCCATTATACATCTTAAAAAAACTGAAATACATTTCTACGCTTAAAATTATACATTTAGTAAATACAATCCATTGTTTGGAATTATTAAACATTTTTTTTAACTTTTAGAGTGATCTACTGGGAAATGCTGCGTATAATTCGCTCTGGTATGATTCAGAAAGTAGCAAAAGTCGCCTAATAGTGCTTTTATTGTTAAGATCTCAGAAAGGATTTCCCCTTACATTCGGAAAATTTTCGACTCTTAATTTGGAAAGCTTCACTGGTGTAAGTTTTTTACATATATTCCAACTATAATATTACTTTAATCTTTACAGTAAAAAGTATTTACGGGGCAGTGGCTCATTACTTTGCAAACGAAATGTATCAGTAGATTGAACGCATTATGTTATAGTAAATTCCGCGGATAATACAGGGTGACACAGAGATAACGATACCATAAGTTTAGACATTTCAGTAAAAACTAATTCCACCGGTAGACGAATCTGACGATGCATAGAATTGACAGGTTGACAGGTGTTCCTAACAAATGAATCACAAAATATTACGACCGTACTAGGTTTGAAATACTACATTGTTGTACAATTTTATTCGGTAAACGTCCTGTAATCCATTTACTCTTAAAATATGCAGATAAAATCGCTCCACTGTATCCTTAGGTAAGAATGAAGTATAAAGCTCTAAAGAATAAAGCTAATTAATATGCTCTAAAAAAATAGAGTGTACTAAAAAATTTACCGATCATCTACTAAATTGAAGATCAAACAATTAATTTGCGAATCCTTGCAGATGTTTTGTCTAAAAATGTTTAAACATCGGAGTAAATAGTTCGTTGCGGAATTAGGAACAAACTTTTCAATATTTACAATAAGAACTCTCGAGATTGTAAAATTGAAAATTTTGTGTTACTTGTCTGTTGGGTTACCCTGTATTCTTATGATTTAGAAAATTGCTTGGAATTAGCTTCCTCAATATAAATAAATCTATTTTCGTCATTTTCAGATTATGAAAGTCTCGGCCTCTTACATGTCAGTACTTCTTGCGATATCCTGAAAAGTAAACTCCGCTCTATACATGGAACGTACTCCAGTTTAGGGATTAGAATGAAATTTGAGTTTTATGTCGAATAAGGAGATTTTAAGACAGTAGAAAATTAGAGTAGAAAATTCACTGGTCTTTCAAGCACATGGTTTTATTTGGAAATGTCTGTTCCCTCTGAAGCTCGAATTCACTGCAATTGATTTTAGCATGCACTCGCGTGTTGTTCATTTGCTTCTGTAATTTCAATCGAAATTCTGTAACATCGCAAGAAACCTGAAACCAATACTCTGGCCATCTCTTTCTCTTTCTGGCGAACGTTGTAATCACCGCAATATTCTTTGAAATATTTATACAGACCGGACGAATGCACAACAAATGGCTGCATCGTGTCCGCGTCGGAAATCTATGCTTTTCGCAACATTTTCGAGAGAGATTTTAGTCCATTCTTGGACGTCGTCGAAGCATCACTTAATGTTACTGGTGGCAAACGAGATAGTTTCAGTCCATTTGGAAATCAATGAATAGACATAATTTACGAAACTAAACGGGAAGAGAATACAAGGTGTGACAATAATGTTTCGAGAATAATTCATGTAAAAATTTTATTTTGTGAATCAATCAGGCGTGAGGTCACCCCCTTCAAAGTAGTCCCATTAAGATTATACACAAGTATTTTAGCGTCGGATCCAATGATCGTAAGCTTTCTAGTATCTAGTTACTTTCTGGTTTACGTTTTAATACCCTCATTATGTTGACATGTTACAATAAAATTTCGAGAATAATTTTGTTTCCGTCAATGTCTACATAATTGTTCATATTGTTGTCATTAGACGCAGTTGTTTCTATTATATGCTAATTTGGCGGACGTTATATTATTCTCGAAACTGTATTGTCACACCTCATGATGTAACGCTGGTATTACAACGAACGCCACGAAGTGTAGTAACTATCAGAAATGTTACTTTCAATGGATTCGACGCTAAAATGCGGGTGTGGTTTCGATGAAACTACTTTGAAAGTAATAGCCTCACACCTGTTTAATTCTGAAAAGAAACATTTGAAATGAATTATTTTGGATACTGTATTGTTACACCTCGTATGTCGATGTCGCATATTTCCCACTGAGTACTTTATTCTAACCATTGTATAGACAAGCAGAAAAGGAAATATACGGTCCCCGATTAAGTGCATTGTTGCGGAACATTTGTTGGTAAGTGTACTTTGTTGTAATATTTTACATAAAAATGCTTCCTTATTTTAGTCAACAGACACGGTATAATCGTAATTTGCATAGGAGTATTATACTGTTTCGTTGAAGAATATCTGATCACTAAGGTGATTATATGAAACAAATTGTTTCTAATTACTCAAGTACATGTATTCTATGACGTTATAAAACGGGCATGCATGGATCATGTAAAACACTCCAAATTGTGACATAAGGGAAAGTCATAGAGGAACCGTAACCAGAATGGATATAAATAGTAGGAAATTTTGGTTCCTTATAACAGTTACCTAGAATAGGAGTCGGCAAACTGCGGCTCTTCGTGTATTTAGATATGGCTCTGAAGTAAAATTGAAAATTAAAATAAAATGATTTAAATGATTTCAAATACTTCGAATAGTTTTCCGGACTCATATTATGTGTTGAAAAAATTGGCATTTATTAGCATTCTCAGTATCTTTGGGTCTATATGTATATTTCTGTAAGTAATCGTTTTTTAACATGAATTTCATTAAATGTTAATTGAAGAGCCAAATTACTGATACCAACTTGGAATCGTCCCTTAAATTGAAAACGACTACAAACGGAACATTCAGAAAGTTTCTAAGAAAATGCAAACTCAATGCGCACACTGATTAAAACCAGTGAGAGCAATTTTTTGTGTAATTTTTCTTCACTTATTAAAGATATAATTAATATTACAACTTGTTATAATATTATTTAAAATTTCGCTTATTTGTAAAAATATATTTATGGCTCTGGAATAATTTTCAAATTGTTGTGAGGGGTAGGTTTGGCTTTTCCCTCTGAAATGTTTTCCGACCCCTAATCTAGAATAACCACTCTTTGTAACTATCTTGTGAGAGAATATTTATATACGAATTAGAAACAATTATTTTTGGAACCATTCAACCCTTGCTTCGAGAGCAACAAAATGTAATTTAGAAATTATATTTAGAACTTACGGTTGCCCAAAAACTATTTATGACAAAAATTGCGACTTGATGAAACAATTACCTATTTAGGTCATATTATAAATTTAAAAAACGGTTTTTTATCCCCTGTACACGAGTGTATAGTAATTACATTATTAAATTACTCTATATTAATAAATTAAAAATATCATTAAATTTGCTTTTAATTTTTAGAACAAGATTATCAGTGATGCAGCACACGAGCCGCAATGATACGACTTTCAGCCTAGTAGCAGTCGGCAACTAGTACCTACTCTTAATATCAAAGTCTCAGAAGGGATTGTCAGTTACATCCGTAAAATTTTCAGCCCTTAGTTTGGAAAGCTTTACGGACGTAAGACATTTACATTTTACCCACGATAACATTTATTATTCATTGAAAATGACTTCCACGAAACAATGATTTCTCCTAAAATGAAAGTAGCAGTGCGGAACAGACTATTATGATGCAGTAAAGTCGCTAAGCCATGTAATTGCGTAATTCTAATCATTTTTAGTTAACAAGTTTATAATTCAATTTTAGTGTAGCTATAAATAAAACAGTTGGGTTATTCTTTAAAGAATACTTATTAGCAGGTCAATATTCGATGTACACATATTTTCTCCTACATGAATTGTTAAGGGGAAGAGCTTAACCACGATTTTTGAAATTGAACATACGTTTTCCACGAAGCTTATCTTCGATAAAAGATCTAGTGCTTCTGCGACGTCAAAGGTAATTACACAGTACTTAGCTATTTGCCACTATTTTCTCCCAAACGATATTTTATAGTCATAATACTGATTTTCACGTTTTTGTTTTTGGTAAAATTGTACAATCACGTTATTCACCTTAATAGTGAGTATCGTTGTACCAACTTTCTAATGAAGTCTTTTCACTTACGCATTTTGCCTGTCGATGCATAAATCATTTTTGACACTTTTGGAAGAATACACAGAAACACTGTTCGAAATTGTTTTCCGTAAATAGCACTTATGCTCCAAAAACGTCCGTTTGTCACAAGAACATTACCAATACTGATCAACTGACTTAAAGCGCACTCTGAAGAATTAATTTTACTACCAGCTCTTCCTACAACCGCCCTTTACCTAGGTATACGTAATTACGGACACGCTCTTGTGTGACGGAGTGTACTGAAGTCTCGACAAAATAAATCTTTATTGACCATAGTAACAGAAAAAACAAACAAAAACACAACAATATTTTTACCTATCCTTTTCTTAGCAATAGCACTCGATAGTCTAGCGGTTCCTACTTTTTAATACCATTAAATAATACTATAATACGTAATTGACAAATAAATTTTTGATAAAATTGTATCAAGCTATTACGGATCACATGCTCTTAACTTGCATTTCTACGATCACGATCGATCGCGAATCTACTTATATCTTGTATCCTTGATCCGTTTACTGCATCGTGTTGGTATCTGGCACCAAACATTTTTTATTATAATATCAAGAAACAATAGTCGTTTTAAGACTGTTTAAAACATTTGTTTTATGAACAATGTGTTTGCTCCAGATAAATGACGGCACTAGTAGTCACAGTAACACCGTTTTACTCATGTTTGGATGTCATTTAAAAAAGTTTTGTTTTGCCGATCATCAAAAAATGTTCCAAATGTCGCCACTAAAATGATACGTAGGCGTCAACTATAGTGAATTCAGTGAGCGGTTTAAAAACAAAAGCCGATTATCGAGCATTGGGAATATTCGGGATTTATTCATCCATTTTATATCTTTCCTTACCAGACTGTCGAGAATTTCAAATCACGAAAAGAGTGCACACTTTGGAATTCTCGAGACGCAAAACTTTCATGGGTTTCGAGGTATTTCGACGTTTCAAGAAACCAATCCCTAGTGAATATAAGACGTTGCAGAAATAACTGTGCTAAAACCCATTCACTATCGTTTACAGAATATGTCAAAATGAAATTGCCAAAGTTTCACTTGCATTGAATTTTGTTCACAGTTTCAACCACCTTGTTGTTGATACGTTACTTCACAGAATCGGACAGTTTCTA